TTCAGGTTATGTCGATATAGGACTTGTTTTACTGTGGATATAGATACTTTTGTACCTGTTTCCTCCAGCATCTTCACAAGGTCCTTCGCTGTTGTTCTGGGATTGATTTGCACTTTTCGCATTAAAGTACGTTCATCTCTAGGAGACAGACCGCGTCTCCTTCCTGAGCAGTATGACGGCTGCGTGGTCCCATGCTGTTTATACTTGCGTATACAGATGAACGTGGTACCTTCAGGCATTTGGAAATTGCTCCCAAGGATGAACCAGACTTGTAGCGGTCTACAATTTTCTTTCTGAGGTCTTGGCTGATTTCTTTTGATTTTCCCATGATGTCAAGCAAAGAGGCACTGAGTTTGAATGTAGGTCTTGAAATACATCCACAGGTACACCTACAATTGACTTAAATGGATGTCAATTAGCCTATCAGAAGCTTCTAAAGCCATGACATTTTCTGGAATTTTCCAAGCTGTTTAAAGGCACAGTCAACTTTGTGTATGTAAACTTCTGACCCACTGGAATTGTGATACAGTGAATTATAAGTGAAATAATCTGTCTGTAAACAACTGTTGTAAAAATGACTTGTGTCATGCACAAAGTAGATGTCCTAACTGACTTGCCAAAACTATAGTTTGTTAACAAGAAATTTGTGGAGTGGTTGAAAAACGAGTTTTAATGACTCCAACCTAAGTGTATGTAAACGTCCAACTTCAACTGTACAAAGAAACGTCAATAGAAAAACAGGAAATGCAGCTAGTTTGCTGTCATTCCAGCTTCAGTTTATAGTGATTGTGTTAGCCGTGTAGTTGGCTATCTCTTCTGAACAGTGGCCTGGCGAGAGGGCAAATGTTCTATGCCAGGCGAAATGGCACATCATTAGCTCATTGTTATGGATGTATCCCCCCCAAAAAATACTAGAAAACAGCTTAAACAAACGTAAATGCAGCTACTTTGCTGTTATTCTGGCTACACTGTTTGACGTGACTGTGTTAGCCAAAGTTGGCTAGCTGGTAAGCAAGGGATAAGAACGTTGCCAGCCATCATGGCAAGCTCGCTTTGATCTCAAAAACGCATCTCCCAACTGCATGATTGACAGACCGCTTGTGCCTGTCAATGCAGGCCTACAATAATGATACTCTGGTGCGCTCTGCAGAGATTGGGAGGATAGAGGACAGTGCACAACACATTGCATCCGGAGGACACTGATCCAACACTGATTGGAGTAGCCTAAATTGTTTGATAGTGCTTTTTGCGTGATTTTTTTTTACTTGTCCATTTGGACAACATAAATGTTTGTCCTACTTAAAAAAAATAATAATAATAATACTTGCCCCGGGCAAGTGGACAAGCCTTAATGTCAAGCCCTGGATACCCCCAAAATTCCTTAAGTAGTACTTCAAAGTATCTTTACTTAGTTACATTATACCAGTGGTTCCCAGCCAGGTGTACTAGGACCCCTGGGGGTACTTGGCCTATCCACAGGGGGTACTTGAGAAGACTCATGAAACCATATGCCTACTGGTAAAAAGCACATGAGGGGGTACTTCAGGGCCCCTGCCCAGGCAAACCGGCGACCCTGGGATCCCCATCATATGTTAGCAAAAAAAATTATAATCAAGTCTTATCATCTGTTAAATGATAATGGAAAGTAGAAGTAATCAAGATATATTTTGGGGGGATTTGTTTTTGTGAAAAATAATTAATGAATATCGGAAGCTGCAGTTCATATCCATATTATTCATATTTGATTCAGTGATTGAAATTATGACCCCATCCCTCGATAGCCTATTGGGCAACGGAAGCACTTCTTACCACGAGATCGCCTTGCTATTCATGTTGAATGTCAATTTAAGCAAGCTGCTAAATCTACTGTGTAGGCTATCTAAAATTAGATGTAGGCCTATCAGGGGCTATAGGCTACCTGCATATAGCTAACCAAACCATGGCTAAATGGAATTACAATCATAAACCCAGATTTTAGTCAGTAGCCTATGCCTATTGAAATGACAAGTCAATCTCCCAAATAGGCCATTTAGAACGGTTTGTAGTCTTAACATCTGGCACTTAATAAAGGCACAACTGCCAGAAAATAGCCTAACATTCGTTTTTTGAAGTTTATTTCTTTATTAGTCACATTAGCACGCAATAATTCTTATTGATGGAAAAACGATTTTTGATTAAGGTCGTTCAAAGTTAAATCGAGATTCCTTCTTAATTCAGTCGATAAGGTTATGGGAAAAATGTTTATTGGCTAAATGTGGCAACTCCGCTATTGCTGATTTTTTTTAAATGTCATATATATGAGACTTTGTCGGCCCAAATGAACCCGATGACCCAAATGTGGGGATCTGGCACATGGACTAAAGCCAGGAATTTGAAGTATTGGTTGGACGAAAATCCTCTGTGCTATTCTATGCATTACACTACCTACTGTGTAACGGCTGTATGGTATGGAAGCGTTCACATATCACCGCCGTTTCAAAATGTAGCTAGCTAGCATAGACCTAAACGTCATTGTGGCAAACATTATATGATGAATGTTAGTTTACTGTAGCGCTCACCTTGTCGGTAATACATATCGTTCACAGTGTTTCCGTAAACTCTCCAAGCGAAGTGGATGGCAATGAGACTGACAACGAGCCAGCTAAACAAGATCTTGAATATTGACACTCTCATATCATTAGCCAACCAGTCATCCACGAATTCGGAAAGAAACGACACAAACCCGTCCACAATACGGGATAAAAACTCGAAATCCCACGGCTCTTCCATTTTATAAAACACCACCCAACGTGTATGATTTGTCAAAAAACATGTCTTACCTAAACCAGTTAACGTTAGGTTATGTTCAAGGCTGAGTAGATGGCTAACGGGTGATGCGCTGACTGTTACAATTCACCACATTCCTCAAAAAGATTTAGGCGTAATCTCACAAGATGTAAATATTTGCTTTTAGTATTAGCTACTTATCCCGGAGTTTCTAAACCCAGATGCGAAACATCGCGAGACTTCCGGGAACGCTTGCGAAACAGATGAAGCAGACCAGGGTGTTTGAGAAGTATGTGGCCGTGTTCGAGAGCATCAAAACCGTGATTTATCTAGTGACGTGCAGTTCGCGAACGATTCGTTCTTTTTGAACTACTCTTTTTACTAACTCGAGAATCATAATTCGTTAATTTTATTCATTCGTTTAACCTGCTAGTGTTGGCAACAATGAGTCCTACAGCAGGATTAATACACGCTCCTCCGGCTCAGCGGCTCCAGAGACATGCTCCGACCACCAACTGTCTGTCATAGAAGCACAGAGAAATAGATCATGAACATAGAGAAGAAAAATACATGTTTAGAACTGATCATTAGAGAAGGATTACTTTTATACTATCCCAGGTATTCCTTAAAGAGGTAGGGTTTCTTAAGTAGTTGAACATGTTATTACTCCAACCTCGTGAAAGTCACAAACTGACATGTTTTCATTTTCGTCAAAAATAACTTTAAATCAAGGAGTGCCTTTGATTTGAAGGCCTGCACATGCACAGTTCAAATCAAATCACATTTTATTTGTCACACGCGCCGAATACAACAGGTGTAGACCTTACAGTGAAATGATAATTTACGAGACCTTAACCAACAATGCAGAGTTTTTAAAAAGTAAGTAAGAAAAATGTACTAAATAAACTGAAGGAAAAATAGTAACAAAATAAAATAATAATGATGAGGCTATATACAAGGAGTAATGTGTACATGTAGGTACTAGTAAAGAGACTGTGCATAGATAATAAACAGAGTAGCAGCAGTGTATGTGAAGAGTGTGAAGGAATGTGAATGTATGTGTGTGTTTGTGGCTTCAATATGCATGTGTGTATGTTTTGTGTGTGCGTTGGAGTGTCAGTGTAGTATGTTTGAGTGTGTAGTTAGAGTCCAATGAGTGTACATCGAGCCTATGCAAGAGAGTCAGTTATAACCGTTCTTCTAGACCCGAACCCTGGCCCCTTGCCCTGGAACGCACCCTGACTGTGGGGAGGGGGGAGTTTCTCCTCTCATTGGTTTGTTACTTGCTCCATCTAAATTATCATTGGACAACGTATCCTGTCACCACTGGGATTCCGGATGTGCTGTTGTGAGTGTAAAAATTGTTTTTCGGCAATTTGCCTACCAGTTATATAGCCTAAATTCACATTATACCCGACGATTTAACAACAGAATATCAAAACGTAGCTAAGCTTAGTTTTTTTGTACAATATTTCAAGTTATGTCAGTGTGCGGAAAAACTGGTGTTGGGGAGCACTGGAATGTTTTTGGCTGGCTAGTGAGGGTAGCCTGCAATAAAAAACATGCAGGAAGAAAAGCTAAATAATAGAATTTAGCTAACTATCTTATTTGCCAGCTAGCTAGGTAGGTAAGTAATCAGCTAGCGAACTAACGTTAATCGGTTTAATCCAATTAGCTAGAATAAAATGCGTTTTCATTTAGACTTTACGGTAGCTAGCTATGATGATGTTAGAATACAAGGCGTTTTCATTTAGACCTAACGTTAGCATTGCAATGATGATGTGTTCAGGGGCCGGTTTCCCAAAAGCATCTTACGGCTAAACTTATAAATATATAGTTCCAAATTATGAACTTAACCATAAGATGCTTTTGGGGAAACCGGGCCCTGGTTTAGATGCAAATTGGCTTCCCCCTGTCTGTGGCTTCAGCTGTTTTAAGAAATGAACGAGTTGAAATTTAAAAGCGTTATTAGTAGATAAAGCTAACGTTGCGAGTAACATACGACGACTTAGCTATGTTCTTACTCCAGGGGCTTTAATCTTATCAAGATGCAAGTGAGTGCTTGCTACGGAAGCTAAAGCCACATATCCGCTGACCTATTTTAACAAGGCTTGTCATCTAGGCCTTAGCAACTTGAATTACCCGTTTGTGGCCAGCTGCGTAGCTCGATCGGTAGTGGTGTCCTGTTGTAGGATGACAGGAACTGTTAGCTGAATATCAAATGAATGACTAGTATGCCAATGAATGCATCATTTTCTTTGATTTACAGTGTCTGTGATGTCAACATGGACAGAGATGACAGTCAAGAAAAAGGAGAGAGAGAGGAGATAACGAGTTGTGATCCACCCTCTGTTGACTGCATCCTGTCAACTGGTATGAAATGCCTTTCTTATAGCATGTGACATCTAATCTAGAATGAAAGTTAGCTTATCTTTAATCCTCTAGAGTCTACTAAACTATCATATGGCATTGTTTTAAGATGGTCATACCAAGGATCATTTAGATATTTGAGTTAGAATTTTAGGACCCCTTTAGGTGTATATATACAAAAATATTGATGAAATATTGAATTTGGCCTTACTGCTATTAGCTCATAGAAACGCATTGAATAACAGATTCATATATGGAAAAACAGAAGGAAGTTTGTTTTGAAGAGTCTGGCCTATAACTGACAGACACTTTTCACCACAGATGCGGAAGGCCTATATCGGCGGATGCAGTGAATTGAGACGCAGCCCATGCAAAAAACAGATATCTCTAGCTTAAACAGACCGATTTTTATGGGGATTGTTTAATTATGCTAGTTGGATTTCTGCGGGGCTGCGGAAATTGACTGAAGAGGTTTAATGTCAATGTAGCTGATTGTGAAATGCCTCCACACAGCAAGTAGGGAGATCTGCAGTGTTTGTGATTCTTTTACTGAGTTGATTATTGTCTGATTTTCAGGTTCTTCTTATCACACTCCTGCCCTGCCCTCTGACAATCACACAGTTCCTGAGCCTGCTGGACCAGTGGGAGGAGACAAAAACACCAATGTGACTTTAGAGGAGCCTACAAATCCACCTACATCAGAATCTATGGGAGAGAAGGGACTACAAGCAGCTCCTGACCAGGATCTAGAACCGGCTCCTGTTCTGGTAAAAGAGGAAGAGACTGATGCGTGCAGTAAGACAGAATATCAGAACTGTTCAGGTGGTCAACCAGAGACTGTCCCAGAAGAGGTTTCAGCTGAGAATGGGCAGGACGACTCAGGGGAGTTTATGGTCACTATGTTGGCCAGAGGTAAACTGGAGGAGCAAGGTGTGGGAGTGAAGAGGCGTTCCTCTCCACTGTCAGAGACTGGCGCCCCAGAGGCCCCCCCATCCCACCGTGATGAAGACGTGACGGCGGAGAGCTGGAGGCAGCACAGGAAGCATGTGTTTATCCTGAGTGAAGCAGGGAAGCCCATTTACTCCCGCTATGGCAGTGAAGAGGCACTGTCGTCCACCATGGGAGTCATGATGGCACTGGTGTCCTTTGTCCAGAGTAGTGACAACATGATCCGCTCTGTCTACTCAGGTGAGATTTTCTAGAATTTCCTTACGTTCATGACTATGACAATAACTGTTACTGAAGGTGTAATTAACAGTTCACTATAGGTGTTTATTCATCATCCTTTGCTCCCCGTGTACAGCTTTACATCAGGTTTCTTCAGTGTCTGTTCTCTCTACCCCCTCCCCCTCAGATGGGCACACGGTGGTGTTCATGCAGAAGGGTCCTCTGGTGCTGGTGTCTGTGTCGAGCAGCCGTCAGTCAGAGCAGCAGCTGCGTGGTGAGCTGCTCTACGTCTACTACCAGATCATCAGCATGCTCACCCAGGCCAGCATCGCACGCATCTTCGAACACAAGAAGAACTATGACCTGCGGCGACTACTGGTCGGCTCCGAAAAGATCCTAGACGGCCTCCTCAACCTGGTGGACTCGGACCCCAGCTTCCTGCTGGCAGCGGTGCACTGCCTGCCACTGGCCTCCTCTCTCAGGGACTCTCTCAGCCAGATCCTGCAGAAGGCCATCACCACCAACCTGGTCTTCTCAATCCTCATCGCCAAGAACCAGCTGCTCACCATCGTCCAGGAGAAGACGGTGATCGAGGACGCCAGGCTGGAGCCTGCTGACGTCCACCTCCTACTCAACCTCATTGGGGCCTCCTCTGCCTTCCAGGCCGGAGAGATCTGGACTCCCATCTGCCTGCCTCTCTTTAACCCTGACTGTTACTTCTATGCCTACATCTCCTACCTGGACCCTCCAGAATGCACTGTGTGTCTGCTGCTGCTCTCTACGGATAAGGAGGCCTTTTATGCGGTGGCAGAGTGTAAGAGGAGGATAGAGGAGGCCATGCTGGCTCAGAGCTCCCTGAGCCTCATAGCCAAGGCCCACTCCTACAGTGTGAGCCAGGTGGGCGTCTCAGACCTCAGGCACTTCATGTACAAGCCCTTTGATGTGCCAGACAACCACAAGCAGCTCACCCAGTTCACCAGGTAGGTGGTATCTATTCTGTTGTGCTTTTGTAACCTTTACCCAGTGAATGGTTATGAATGATTCACATCGGTCTATTTCATTTAACTTCTTTTTTTAATGTACTTTTTGGACTAAATATACTCTGGATAGTGGTTCTGCAGTGTGTTTAATGTGCAGAAAGATTAGCCTACAAACATAATTACTTAAAAAAGGAATGTCAAAGGTAAACGTAAAAAAACATGTGCCTCAGGTCAGATCACATGCATCCTCCAGTAGGCCTGTTGCTTATGATTACCATGGTAATATTATGGAATCATAGAAATTGAAAGTGCATGATATCCATGATGATACTAATAAGATTGTAGCATTCTCACTGTAAGAAAAAGTATGCCTTCAAGTATTTCTTATTTATCTTGATTGGTAGCTTTGGGTTTCTTATTAGATGAGTTGTACCAGGGAACACAACCTTGCAAAATCTTGTACATCTGGGGAAATAAATATTCACCATGCAATGCTGCGTCACAGAAAGGCTAACATTTCAGTCTAACTTACATTAGAGCATGATCAAAGTTGGAGAAGCAAACACGTTTATTTTGCTAAACACATTATTGTTTGGCGATTCCCCTTTGATGTACAGTGCATTCGGAAAGTATTCAGACCCCTTGACTTTTTCCACAATTTGTTACGTTACAGCCTTATTCTAAAATGTATTACATTGTTTTTGTCCCCTCATCAATCTACACACAATAGCCACATTAAAATTTGTAATAAAAACTGAAATATCACATTTTACATAAGTATTCAGACCCTTTACTCAGTACTTTGTTGAAGCACCTTTGGCAGCGATTACAGCCTTGAGTCTTCTTGGGTATGACGCTACAAGCTTGGCACACCTGTATTTGGGGAGTTTCTCCTGTTCTTCTCTGCAGATCCTCTCAAGTTCTTTCAGGTTGGATGGGGAGCCTCGCTGCACAGCTATTTTCGGGTCTCTCCAGAGATGTTAGATTGGGTTCAAGTCCGGACTCTGGCTGGGCCACTCAAGGACATTCAGAGACTTGTCCCGAAGCCACTCCTCTGTTGTCTTGGCTGTGTGCTTAGGGTCGTTGTCCTGTTGGAAGGTGAACCTTCGCCCCAGTCTGAGGTCCCGAGCGCTCTGGAGCAGGTTTTCATCAAGGATCTCTCTGTATTTTTGCTCTGTCCATCTTTCCCTCGATCCTGACTGGTCTACCATTCCCTGCCGCTGAAACACATCCCCACAGCATGATGCTGCCACCACCATGCTTCACCGAAGGGATGGTTCCAGGTTACCTGCAAAGTGACGCTTGGCATTCAGGCCAAAGAGTTCATTCTTGGTTTCATCAGACCAGAGAATCTTGTTTCTCATGGTCTGCGAGTCCTTTAGGTGCCTTTTGGCAAACTACAAGCGTGCTGTCATGTGCCTTTTACTGAGGAGTGGTTTGTCTGGCCACTCTACCACCAAGTCCCTTCTCCCCCGATTGCTCAGTTTGGCTGGGCGGCCAGCTCTAGGAAGGGCCTTGGTTGGTTCCAAACTTCTTCCATGTAAGAATGATGAAGGCCACCATGTTCTTGCGGACCTTCAATGCTGCAGAATTGTTTTGGTACCATTCCCCAGATCTGTGCCTTGACACAATCCTGTCTCGGCGCTCTACGGACAATTCCTTTGACCTCATGGCTTGGTTTTTGCTCTGACATTCACTGTCAACTGTGGGACCTTTTATATAGACAGGTGTGTGCCTTTCCAAATCATGTCCAATCAATTGAATTTACCACAGGTGGACTCCAAGTTGTAGAAACATCTCAAGGATGATCAATGGAAACAGGATGCACCTGAGCTCAATTTCGAGTCTCAGAGCAAAGGGTCTGAATACTTATGTAAATAAGGTATTTCCGTGCAAACATTTCTAACAACCTGTTTTCACTTTGTCATTATGGGGTATTGTGTGTAGATTGATGAGGAATTTTTATTTATTTAATCCATTTTAGAATAAGGCTGTAACGTAACAATGTGGAAAAAGTCTGAATACTTTCCGAATGCACTGTATACCATTGGCCGATATGCACTGCATAATGTCTGAGGTCTTGCTCTGTCCTTGTTTAAAACATTTCATGCGCTGTTGATTTCAGCCCAGAGATGGATGGCTCCCTACAGCACAGAGGAGGAGAGGATGAGGCTGCTGGACCTGTACCGCTACATGCACGGTCGCATCCACAGCTCCTCCCGGCCCCTCAAGCTCATCTACCACGTAGCAGAGAGGGAAACCCTGCTGGCCTGGGTATGTCACTCCCACATGGTTTTACACGTGGAAGTGTTACTATGGGCAGCTCTCTGTACTGGAGGCTGTTTTAGTCTGGAGTCTTGGTCTCACTGACCTGCATTCTGATGTAGATCTGAAGTTCAAGGGTTTACATTGTAGTATGTGAGCTATTTTGGATTGTTGCTAGCATTCATGTTACATACTTTTCAGCTCAATGGAACATACTTTGTAAATTACTGTTATTTGAAACTGTTGAAATGGATCTGCTAAGTCAACTTATTGAATCTCTGTCCTTTACTCTATAGGTCACAAGTAAATTTGAATTGTACACCTGCTTCAGCCCCTTGGTGACTAAGGCCTGTGCCATTAACGCCATAACCAAGCTTCTACGGTGGATCAAGAAGGAGGAGGACCGTCTCTTTATCCGATACCCACCCAAGTATTCAACCACCCCTAACCCCAGCAAAAGCTCCCGAAGGTCTGACCAGCAGGACTCAACAGATAATGGCTTCATGTCTCTCCTATAGAGCTGCTCTAGCCCTGTGCTTAGCCCTGGCTATTCTACTCTGTCAACAAAGTTTGTACACTGGTTCTACAAGAGGTTTGGCACAGGCCACATCCTACATCTTTGGGTACTTCATTGAACTTTAACCACTGGACTATTTAAGGAGGACTTGCCTTTTTGACACTTTCAGACTCTATTACTTCTGTATCTTTATGAGAAAGCATGTATAGTAACTGCATTAGTGCTCTTTTAGATTACAGTCGAACAAGTTGATGTTCAGTGAATCTGTAAAGAGAAAGCAAACATTTTTAAATTGGCTAGTGGTGGAACATTGAAGATCATTTTCAATGATATTGAGGTGTTTTATATAGTTTTATTCTATTGTAACAATGGTGAGAACTTCTCGAATGTATCATATCAAAGACTTGTTACATACAACTATTGCAATTCAAGCTTTCATGGTCATTGACACTGTAGCACATGACAAAAATTAAATGGACTACCTTCATTATACAGAACTGCTCTTGAATTTGTTTAACTACCTTCATAATTATTGCTAGAAACCTTAGATGTTGACAGGCTGACATGAGTGTGGTTATTGGTGGGATGAACAGGAAATTAAAAAGCATGAATATCTGATTTTGAAATCACATCTTCATCAAAATTGGAAGGATTACCACTCTAGTATGTGTATATTTGTTTTGATATGACCTCTACATGTTGTTCTCAGTTGATACAATTGCTAAACAATTGTTTGATTTGCATGTTAATCTTTGCAGTTTAGATTGTAAATAGTGTTAACTCAGTTAATTATGCTCTGTTAATGTAAACATTCAGTTACATTTTCATTCTGTCCTTCATTCAAGAAAATCCTTATTGCTGGGAACCAAATTATTCACACACAGTCTACTCTAGTAATCCTTAAATATTTTTAAGTACTTGATGGTTAAATGCTTTGTCCAGCACACTCAGAAAATCCTACAATAGAGTCCTAATTTGTGGGATTCTTTATTAAAAGACACTTGATGCAAATTCTTGTTGGATACCAGGATCAACTATGCTGGACTTTGTCATGTCCTTAGTGGTGGCTGTTCAGGCTTATCTGGTTTGGCTGTTAGGAACATCTTATCCAGAGTATTAATGTTCATTGGGTTCTTAAATAAATCCCAGGTTACACAAACCACCTTGTCATTATTTTATAACTGCATGTTAGATTTTTATGAGACTGAGAACAAACAACCATTTAAAACAATGTATTTCTTGTGAGAAAATATTGTTTTAGACAGATTGTAGATCTTGTGGTATAATTCAAATTACAAGATCCAGAAGTCCTCTGTACCACCTAATACACCGCCTAGTAGGCTGGTGCACTTTCATGCCGAAACTACAGGGTTTTGTGCCAACTGACCACTAGGGAACATTATCTGATATCTCAATAAGTATTGTCACTGATACAAATAGCTACAGAGCTTCATACATAAATCTTTTTCCATATTTATTTTTAAATAACACTTTCAAATTGTCACACGATATAAATTACAATCTAATATTTAGATTTTTTGCATTCCTTAAATTACTTAGTGTATTATAAACACAGACATTTACATATATACAGAATGTGCATATGCTTCTACACATGCACATAACCAAGTTATTTATATCACATTTTTCATACCTATGGCTTCAGAGCTCATATATTCTATAAACCTTTAACTAACAGATTGTGCTTTTCAAGTCATTGGAGGGTTTGCAAATAATATTTTGCCAAGTTATTGACCTTGTTAAAAAAGTGGTTGCAGTGACCGCTGACATGACTGGTGAAACAGCATCTCCATTGTCCTGACTAGACATTCAAAAGTCCTCATGTTCCATCAGATCGCTACAACAAGCACACCATTTTCATTTCATATAAAAAAGAAAAAAAATAGCCTCACAATGTGTAAAAATATGTATAAGCATGGTATTTCAATGACAAATACAATCTGAATATGATTTGAATCTAGCAAATCCCTTAAGGATAAATATACAATGTATTTATTTGATGTCTTGATTCACTTGGCCTAAAACAACCTTCATAATATTACTAGACTCATTGCAAAGTCATTAAAAACTAATCACAATGAATAATCACATTTTATCATGTCTTTTAGGAACTCCTCTCACATTTCCCAAATGATAATGTTCACCCTAAGAGGTGAGAGTCAACCAGACCATCATTTAGGTATATCAAACCACTCAAATTCCATGTCCACCTTCTGGTGAATGACTGAAGCTAGGGTCGTTATTTTCTCACCCAAGCTCTTTGTTATTGGTCTGATCCCTCCTAACCAGACAGATTGTGGTGGATTTGCAGACTGACAAAATCCTTCATATGAAATTGGAGGGGTTGAAACTGAGGTTCCCCTTGACGTGGTTCATAACGTGGTTCAGGTGTATCATGGCACGGTCGTATGCCGTGTGTACAGACTTGCGGACGCTGGGCTTCTTGCCCTCCATCAGGCGCAGTTTGTCCACCGTGTCATCCATCCCCATTGGCAGCAACTTGTCCCGTGGCAGCCATTGCCTGAAAGGCAGCAAGAGGGTTCAACAGAATGACAAAAACATACAATAGGAGGGGAGAAAAAGTGTACCCAAAAGCGCTTTAGACCAGCTTTATTTTCCCGGATAGTCACCTGTTAAAGTGTCCTAGGGTAAGGAATGTTTTTGGGATACAATAGGAGGAATCAAAACACACATCAACTATCCAGTAAGTACCTTAGATAATTCATGTGAATTATCATTTAGCAGAACGCTCATCTTTACTTTCTTACCAGGTCCTTTTGGTGTCAAAGAACAGCACGAGGTAGTGCCTCTCCCCTGTCGCTTTCTGCCTCCGCTCCCCCAGTTTGAGCACGTCCCCAGGAGGCACGGGGATGGGGATGCCGTTGTGAAGAAGCCCTTCCTGAGGCATGTCAGGGTCAACAACCTGGGGAAATCCATTGGTAGTTTATGTATCCTGTTACTCTCTGTGCTACAACGACTGGTAAAGTCAAATTCAACTACATCTAAAAGAAGGTAACTTGTCAACCATTACATGTGCCAACCCAAAAACTCTTGAAAATCAAGCCAAGCCTCTATTGCAGTGCCTTCTGAAAGTGTTCACACCCCTTGACTTTTTCCACATTTTGTTGTGTGACAAAGTAGGATTAAAATGTATTTAATTGTCATATTTTGACAACGATCTACACAAAATACTCTAATGTCAGAGTGGAAGAAAAATGTACAGTGTCTGTTGGAAGCAGACCAGGTTTTCCACTAGGACTTTGCCTGTTCTTAGTTCTATTCCTTTTATTTTTATCCTAAAAAAACTCCCTTGTCCTTGCTGATGACAAGCATATCCATAACAAGATGGAGCCACCACCATGCTTGGAGCCACCACCATGCTTTAAAATATGGAGAGTGGAACTCATTGATGTGTTGTGTTGGATTTGCCCCAAACATAATGCTTTCTATTCAGGACAAAAGGTTAATGTCTTTGCCACATTTCTGGCAGTATTACTTCAGTGCCTTATTGCAAACAGGATGTTTTGGAAGATTTTTATTCTGTATTCTGTCCTTTTCACTCCGTCAGTTAGGTTAGTATTGTGGAGTAACTACAATCTTTTTGAGCCATCCTCAGTTTTCCGATCACAGACATTTAATAACTCTGTAACTGGTTTAAAATCACCATGGTGAAATCACTGAGCGTTTTCCTTCCTCTCTGTCAATTGAATTCAGAAGGACGCCTGGATCTTTGTAGTGACTGGGTGTATTGATACACCATCCAAAGTGTAATTAATAACTTCACCATGCTCAAAGGGATATTCAATGCCTACTTTTTTTTTTTTTTTACCCATCTACCAATAGGTGCCCTTCTTCGCGAGCCGTTGAAAAAACCTCCCTGGTCTTTGTAGTTTAATCTGTGCTTCAAATTCACTGCTTGAGAGAACTAAAATGTAAATGTAAACTTACAGATAATTGTAATGTGGGGGGTACAGAGACGGGGTAGTCATTCAAAAATCCTGTTAAAACACCATTATTGCACAAAGTGAGTCCATGCAACTTCGGAATGTATTCAGGCCCCTTGACTTTTTCCACATTCTGTTGAGTTACAGCCTTATTAAAATGGATTAAATATTATTTATTTCTCAGCCATCTACACACAATAACCCATAATGACAAAGCGAAAACAATTTTTTTGAAATGTCTGCAAATGTATTAAAAATAAAAAACATAAATACCTTATTTATATAAGTATTCAGACCCTTTGCTATGAGACAGTGACAGTGAATGTCAGAGCAAAAACCAAGCCATGAGGTCGAGGGAATTGTCCATAGAGCTCTGAGACAGGATTGTGTCGAGGCACAGATCTGGGGAAGGGTACCAAAACATTTCTCCAGCATTGAAGGTCCCCAAGAACACAGTGGCCTCCATCATTCTTAAATGGAAGAAGTTTGGAACGACCAAGAATCTTCATAGAGCTGGCCGCCCTGCCAAACTGAGCAATCGGGGGAGAAGGGCCTTGGTCAGGGAGGTGATCAAGAACCCGATGATCACTCTGACAGAGCTCCAGAGTTCCTCTGTGGAGATGGGAGAACCTTCCAGAAGGACAACCATCTCTGCAGCACTCCACCAATCAGACCTTTATGGCCACCCCTCATTAAAAAGGTACATGACAGCCCGCTTGGAGTTTGCCAAAAGGCACCTAAAGACTCTCAGACCATGAGAAACAAGATTCTCTGGTCTGATGAAACCAAGATTGAACTCTTTGGCCTGAATGCCAAGCGTAACTTCTGGAGGTAACATGGCACCATCCGTACGGTGAAGCATGGTGGTGGCAGCATCATGCTGTGGGGATGTGTTTCAGCGGCAGGGACTGAGAGACTAGTAAGGATTGAGGAAAAGATTAACAGCGCAAAGTACAGAGAGATCCTTAATGAAAACCTGCTCCAGAGCGCTCAGGACCTCAGACTGGGGTGAAGGTTCACCTTCCAACAGGACAACGACCCTAAGCACACAGCCAAGACAACACAGGAGTGGCTTCGGGACAAGTCTCTGAAGGTCCTTGAGTGGCCCAGCCAGAGCCCGAACTTGAGAGGATCTGCAGAGAAGAACAGGAGAAACTCCCCAAATACAGGTGTGCCAAGCTTGTAGCATCATACCCAAGAAGACTCGAGGCTGTAATCGCTGCCAAATGTGCTTCAACCAAGTATTGAGTAAAGGGTCTGAATACTTATGTAAAATGTGATAGTTTTTTATTTTTTATAAATTTGCAAACATTTAGAGAAAACTGTTTTTGCTTTGTCATTATGAGGTAGTGTGTGTAGATTGATGAGGGAAAAAACTATTTAATCCATTTTAGAATAAGCCTGTAACGTAACAAAATGTCGAAAAAGTATTGTTAAGCACATTTTTACTCCTTTAATTATTTAGGCTTGCCTTAACAAAGGGGTTGAATACGGCAGGTAGCTTAGTGGTTAAGAGCGTTGTGCCAGTAACCGAAAGGTCGCTGGTTCTAATCCCCGAGGCGACTAGGTGAAAAATCTGTCGATGTGCCCTTGAGCAAGGCACTTAACCCTAATTGCTCCTGTAAGTCGCTCTGGATAAGAGCGTCTGCTAAATGACTAAAATGTAAAATGTTATTGACTCAAGACATGTCAGCTTTTCATTTTTTATTAATTTGTAAAAAATTCTCTAAACATAATTCCACTTTGACATTATGGGATATTGTGTGTAGATCAGTGACATTAAATGTAAATGTAATACATTTTTAATTGAGTCTGTAACACAACAATATGTGGAAAAAGTCAAGAGGTGTGAATACTTCTGAAGGCACTGTATGTACATCCAATGAATGAGTGACAGAACTCATGTTCTCTCACCATTGCTGGGTATGATGGATATCCACGACACTTAGCCCAGACCAGGTCCAGTGGTGTGAGCTCTGTCTCACTATCAAAGGGCAAAAGCATACTCCTCCCTGAGGACAAAGACGTGGGATGTTTAACTCAAATTGAAATGGAACAATTATTTTATATAATGAATTCTATAATTTTATAGAATTTTCTCAAATGTAGTCAGGTCCAAAATTATTGGCATCCTTGATAAAGATGAGCAAAAAATACTAAAATAAATAATACAAATACAATTTTTGGAAAATGATATTATTTTATACTAATAATACGATTGCTCAGAGAAAGAGATTTTGTTTAACAAGTAATACAAAAAATAATTTAAAAAAGATAGGGGTCAAAATTGGCACCCGTTTTCAATACTCTGCAAAACTCCCCTTGCGAGGTCTTTCATACAGAATCATTCCAAATCCTTGATCCTTTTTATTTTGTGGTCAATTGGCCATTTCTTTGTGGAATTTGATGTGTACTAGGGGTTATTGTCTTGCTGGAAGGTCCACTTGCTGCTAAGTTTTAGCCTCCTGGCAGAGGCAACAAGGTTTTTTCTGGCAACCCTTCCAAAGAGCCTATTGATATGGAAGTGGCGTCTAATGCTAGATTTGGCGACAAAGTATATTTCTCCAACTGTGGCCCTTGCACGTTTCTTTGCCTCGCGAACCATCTTCCACACTGCGCGGGTACAAGATACATACATGTCCAATACCAGGCAAGTTTATCACTGTTCCAGTGGTTTTAAACTTCTTAAAGTAGAACTGCACTTCCTGATTTGGCCTCGTTTTTCATCAATGCTCATTATGAAATGCAAGTGGCCATTACTGAAAGCGATCGAGAATTGTCTTCGGGTTGTGGTTTCATGTGGGTGTTTCTTGGGTGTGCCTTTGCCATTCAATCACAACAAACATGGGTTAATTCAGTTATATGTGTGGGCTAAAGTAGAGAGGAAGAGGCGAATAGAAAGTAAAGCCGGCGCTGACCTTGTGTTTAGTCAAGCTGACAGCAGCTAGTTAGCATAGCTTGGGGGATAGCTAGCATTGGCTGTAATACCTTTCCTGGCCATCTGATTGTTGAACAACTTTTACGGAAGCCCATTTTCACTAGAGTAGCTATTTCCTGATCAATATGTGCATTAGAGCTCTGCTATCCAACCCGAGCCCGACAGGCCCCAACATTATGCGTCGGGTTAGGGCCGGGTAAGTGCTGTTTTTTTTCATCAATAACTTGGGTACGGGCAAGGCATCACTAAATTGATCAAATAACAATTTGAAGCTGAGCCATTTGCTCGTGCTCTGACTAAGATCATAACACAGTGTCAGAAGTATATAAGACAGGAGAGATGGAGAGATGTTCCTTGAGTTTTGTCAGAGTTTAGAATGACGATAAGTAGCTACAGCTAACTACTCTCTCATCTCTTCATTGAGCAGAGCAGCCCAAGCAAAAACATTGCTATGGATACTCAGACTCTGAGCACCAAGAGCAGAGCGCATTGCACGCAGGGAGCGAGTGACAGACAGCGATGAGCAGCTAATGGATTTACTTACGGAGGAAGTTATTTCTGATTTCGGGCTTAAATTTGGCAGAAGTAATCGGGCCTGGGTAGGGTAGGGCCTAAACGTTGCGGGCATGGTTGGGCATGAGCATTGCACATCAACCTACTGCCAAAGATACACGTGTTATCTGGAAAATTTGTTTTGCATGGCCTGGTGCCTGCTCATTTTCGACCATTCCATTGGTCTGCCTAAAATGAGGTCTCCACCCGCCCAGGGCACCGGGCCATGCAAAGCGAACTCGCCTAGACTTTCCCAGAAAACACGGTGCCGCCACCGTCTTTATAGGCAAAAGGGGCATGAATTGTTGACATAATTGTAATCCAAACCAAACCCTCAACTAAATCATGATGCAGTCACTTACCAAACTCAGTTTTGGACGAGACCAACATTATGACCAAAATTATCCTATTTAAACATTGTACTCAATTTTGAAACTATAATAAATGTTTTTGACTCATTTAGATCAAACATAGGCCATTTTCAAAAGGAGAAGTTGGTTGTCAAGGGCAGGTATTATTGTTTTTTTGCAATTTTTTTGTAACCATTGCCTGATTTATGAAGGCCAACCAACATGGTGATGGTTGTACATGCGTGTTACCTCATTTTTATAACCCAGTGAAACAGGAAGCCATGGAAGGCCACAATACAGTTCCTTAAATTGAGATTAAATAAACAAAAGTAGAATGTTAATGCATTTTAAATTTTGTTTGTTTTTATTTATAACACTCTTTAGTGGTGGCAATCATTTTGAACCCTATCTTTTTGAGAGAAAAAAAATATTATTTGTTAACCTCTTTCTCTGAGCAATTGTATTAGTATAAAATAATATAATAATTTAAAAAATTGAGCATACAATATAGTTTGGTATTTGTATTCTTTATTTTATACAGTCTTTTTTGCTCATCTTTATCAAGGGTGCCAATAATCTTTGACCCGACTGTATATTGTATACATCCATATTCGTGAAATTATAGCTATTATGTCTGACCCTAAGGTATGTGGTGCCTGGACACACTCACCTGAGCCTCCATTCTGCCTCTCGGGGACTTTAGCCAGAGCTGGTTTACCACGGCTGCGTTTGGGTAGCAGGGGGGCACTACATCCATAGACAGAACAAAGGGAAGATCCATGTTATTTCTGAATATATTCCACCTTGAAAATCAGAGCACATTTCAGATGTATCAGGTGTTTAGAGGGATTCTCACCTGTGTTTTTGGTCATTGGATGGTAGGTCTGAGGAGTCATCTTTGTGCTTTCCTAGCCCATTTGTCAAGCCTAGTAGAATACACATTCTGTTAATTGATATCTTCGTCATTATCTACCCTCTCTTCCCTTATGCAACTCATAAATAAAGGGTAAATAATTGTTTTCCTTTATAACAAGTAATAACTTGTTAATACAATCACATAGAGCTTGAATGAAATGACAGAGCAAATGTAAATTAAATGTTTTGTACCGTCCTCTTTGACGAGGTGGAGGGGCTTTTCTCCCTCGCTGTCAGAGCTGGACCCTCTGGACCTCAGGTTGTGGGATGACGGTGAGGAGTGTGTGGGCGGAGGGGCGGGGTTGGAGAGGGTGGTCACACTGGGAGGTTTTGGAATGGTGGGGGTATGGTCCAAGCCATTGGTTTTACCCTCAGTGGTCCCTCCGTTCTGTAACTGAGCCGCCTTGTTCTTTGCGAGTCTTGCTCCATTTTTAGCTTTCTTGAACAGAACGGATGTACGACGGCCAACTCCAACCAAAGGACAGGCGTTATTGGGAGGACTGGGAGTCTCCAAAGGAGAGACCTCTTGAGAAGCCTCCTCCTGTTTGCACGGTGTCGGTGTCTCCCCAACTTCAGCATCATCATCACTCCGCCCGTTGCCCCCACTACGGGAGGTTCTCTGCCGCTTGTAGGAGCGCCCTGGTGACCTTCGCCCTGTGGTCACTAGGCCCAGAAAGGGTGGTTCAGGTGGGGCATCGCCTGGCAGGGGGGATGACACTGGGCATGAAGGCTCTAGTGTTGGTGGAGGGTCATCTACCAGAAGGAAACATGCATTTATCACTTTGTTAAAGCTCAGACACACCGGTAGGATTGTCAATTGTTTGCCTGCCGACAGTACCTAGCACCTCTGAACAGTGTCGGCTGTCAATCTCTTTTGTGTTCACACAGCAAAGTCATTACATTTACATTTTAGTCATTTAGCAGACGCTCTTATCCAGAGCGACTTACAGTTAGTGAGTGCATACATATTTATTTATTTTCATACATTGGAAGTCGTCAGCCACTCAGCCTTGTTAAAATACTCCAAACCAGAAGGTGGCAGTAGCGTTGCTTGGCAATGCATATCCGTGTTTATTGCTTATGGTCTAGATTCCAAGCCATCTCTGCTAATGTTGCTATTTTGTAGAAAGCCCTTGTTGATACTATCCAGATGGCCACAGCTAGATAACTACCTAGCAAGATGATGAATAAATAATTTAATTCTCTCTGCATAATCCCATGCTGCCAGTGTCAGCCCATAGTCAAATGTTTAGTTAGCTAGCTAACGTTAGAATATTCACTAGCACAGCATAGCTAGCTAGATAAGGACACTGCACTAACTCGGCAGCTAACACAGACAGCTGTTTCATGGAAACTAGCTAATCAATTGTGATTTAAATATAATGTCAATACTAGGTGCAGTGGTTAACTAGCTTGGAGGAAGTATTTAGTGTTGTGTGCATTGAGTCTGTGCACTTAGCTAGCTACCATCCCATGGCCTATATTGCATATGAAGTGTGTATGGAGAAATGACCTCATTTATCATTATATATATTTTTGCCTCCCCACGTGGGAGTTTGTGCTCTCTGATTGGCTCAAAGTGGTTGGCCACTGACGAGCATTGCTATTCTACAAGTAGAATCGGTAGGTTTGTCGCTACCGGATCCGCACGCGGCAGGTAACGCTTTTTTTCTAGCAAGAGAAGGAATGGCCTCCCGCTGTGATAAGTACCTATTGGCAGTCTATCGGCAGTGAGATTCTCTGTGTGTTTCATGCTTTAGGGCAGAGGTTCCCATACTTTTCACTCAGGCCCCACTTCCAGCATTGGGGAACATCCCGCAACCCCCTGCGCGCTCGCGCCACATCTATTTCTGTGGGCACAAGCACTGTTCATGACACAAACTGTTCACACCCCTCTTGTTGGCGAAGATAAAATGTTGCAGGTTTAAAGCTTATTTCCTGCAATTCTACACATTTTGTCATGGGGTGCAGAGAAAATGTTGCCATTTTAAAGCAAATGTTCTTGCAATTCTATAAATGTTTCCATGTCTAATGTTTATTCATGTGATATTTGAGTGACTAAAACATTACAACAAAATCTATGTGCTAAAAAACGTTAGCTGACTTGGGCTAGTTGATCTGGACATTTGACAAGTTATAACTGACTGACATGACAAGAGTAACTGATGATGTACTACCCAATTTAGAAATTGCACCTTGGGGGGAGACCCCCGCGCCCCCCCAGCCTAGCAGGCGCGCACCACAGTTTGGGAACCCTTGCTTTAGGGTAATAAAATCAGAATTGCACAACAACAAATCAATAATTAGACTAACACATTAATTCTAGAAAGATTAGTAGAGTTGGAAAGCAACAATGAAAGTAAATCCCTTCTCTTACCTGTCTCCGGGGTAGAGGCTGATGTTAAAGGACCGTTCTCCACATTGCCTTTCTCTCCCTTTTCTTCTTCCCCCTCTTCCTCGACTTCGACTTCTTCTTCTTTCCCGTTGAGCGACTGTGAGCGCTGCTGCTTGTGCCTGACCGTGTTGATCTCTCTGCGCAACAGCCGGATGCGTTTGGTTCTCCCGCCACTGGAGTGCATGGACGTCACCATGTCCAACTTATCCAGCAGGACCTTCAGCTGCTCCTCTGTGGATAGGTGGAGCCTGTTGTCTGGGTCCAGGAGAGAGTCCACTGTAGAGAAAGGAAGGAAAAGAGACTAAATATAGGATAAAGAAGAGGGTTATGATTGTGAAGCTTTTTTCTCTGAACGCCATTCCACGACCAACCCAACCCGTGAGCTATGCTCACCGTCCTCCCAGGTGCATTGGTAGAAGCCGTGCATGTTGGGAAAGTCTGGGAGGTGCATGCCCGTGCTGGGATCCAACCCGATGCTCTGGGCCTGTCTGTGGGCATGGCGGAGGACGGCCCCTCCCACCTCCCGCAGGTGCAGGGCAGCTCGGTGGAACGCGGTCTCCTTTGAGTTGTACCTCAGGCAGTTGGACACCATGAGGTTGAAGTCGCCCTCCAGGTCTGCAATGGAGCAGTAAGCATGGGCCTCCAGTTTGGCACGCATACTGGACAAGTCCATGGGCTTGGAGATGAACTCCAGATAGTCCGGGACCTTCAATTAAAAACATACAAATGAACAAACTATTCAAGAAAGAAGCAGATGAGAAAAGCATTGCTAGAGGCTGAATTGTAAAGCAATGCAAAAAAATACAAATTTATCTAACTCTACTAACCTCTGCTAGATTCACAGGCTGAGAGAAGATCTGTGCCGTGTCCTTCTCCTGAAGCTGGTCCAGGGTGGAACGCAGCAGTATTAATGCAGGGGTCAACTTCAGCTCCAGAGCAGCCTGATGAAGTTTCATCTGGAGGGAGAATGAAAGAGGGAGGGGGAGAGAAAGAGGGAATATGAAAGGGTGCAGAGTAATTTAAGGAAAGCAATAAGACAGATACAGTGATTGTAGAAATGCATTATTTTCATACGTTATATGCAAATGGTAACTCATGATTATGTAAAATAATAATAATAATAATCATGGCCTCCCCCAACTGACACAGTACCTGCTCTCTCTTTAGTCTCTCTCTCTTGCGGATGAGTTCCACCAGAAGTCGGGCTCTCTCCAGGTCCTGCCGCAACTTCTGCCAGTACCGTAGCTCCTCCCTCGCCGCAGTAAGCTTCTCATCAGGCTCCCTCTGAACACATGCACACACACAATTTACATTTCACTATCAACATGAGCTCTATAATTGACATTAAGTCTTTCCCTCCCCGTGTTTTCCTGACCTGCTCAGCAGTCTTGTGAGCCTGCAGATGTGAGTGCAGGCGGCGGATGAGAGGCATGCCATTTCGGGACTGACGTTTCAGCAGCCAGTAGTTGTGAAGCCTCTGCATGAACTGGTTCTTCCTCTGGACAGCAACCCCAATGCAAATCTTGTTCAGCCTGTTTATGACATTGCAATAACTGTTATTCATATTCTGGCATCCTCCCACTGTATAGATAGTGTATTAATAGTTAGTATAAGGCAGCTGTACTGTTCCATTAAACATACATTATTATTAGGCTATAGAAATGTGCTCTCTAAACTGAAGAATACTCAAAGCAAATATACCGGTAGTAAGAAGACAAAGAGAATAATGCTACTGGGAGTGGTGGGTCAGTAGAGGGGTGTGGGAGGTCTGACCTGTGAGAAGGGATCTGAGGCACCAGCAGCACAGGCACAGCAGCGCGGCGGGTCGTCTGACCCTTCTTCTTCTTCTGGCCCTTGGGAGTCTTTTTACTGGGCAGTGCTGGGGGGCTCTGAGTGTATGACCTTTGACCTCTGTTCCCCCTTCCTCCCACCAGCCTCCCCTCCACATCAGCTGACCCATCTCGCCTTGAGCCGACCGGGGAGTGATTCTCACAGAAGGCCGTTTTCTTTACAGAGAAGGTGGTTCCGTTGACCCCAGTCTCTCGAACCGGGTCAATCTTCATGAAGAGGCCAGCCTTCTGGGCACAGGTGACATGGAAGGCCCGGTAGCAGTTGGCCTTATGGCACTGGATGGACGCGCCCCAGCCTTTCTGCTTGCACAGGTGGCAGGTGAGCTTCCAGCGGGCTGGGGGGATGTTGTTCACCCCCTCTACGGGCTCCAGGAACACTGTGTTGGCAAAGCACACCTCGGGGATCCATATGGCACAGACTACATGGGCCCAGCGTCCATCACTAGTCTGTTTGAAGGCACCTCCCCGGTTGGGGCAGAGCACACAGTCCACAGGGCGCGAGGGGGACTGCAGACAGCAGCGGCACAGCCACTGGCCCTCAGGGATATAGGGCACGCCGTAGCACTCCTGGTGGACGGCAAGGTTGCAGATGTCACAGAACAGGATGACGTTGCTGTTGAGACACTCGTCGTCCAGGCACACGCAGCAGAAGGCGTCCTCGTCGATGGCACTCTGGGACAGGGCCTGGCTCCGTGACTCCAGGATGGACTCCCTCTCCAGACGGTCGATCAGCAGCTCAAAGGTGTCCGGGGTGATGGAGGCGTGGCCATCAGACACCCTCTTCTGGTTGACCATCTCCAGCCAGGCCAGGTCCTCCTCGTCCATGTCGTACTCTGCCTCACAGTCCTGCTCCTCTCCTGACTTCTCTATAAACCGGTAGTAGGCCGCAGGGAGGGGAGGTGCGTCTGAAGGACACAGGGAGTCAAGCACACGGAAGGTGGGCTCAGGGAGAGGGCTTTGGTGAGAAGGGTGCTGGGAGGGATTGGTTTGGCTTTGCATGTGCTGCTGACTGCCAGAACGTCGGCTCAGGTGAGATGAGGTTTTGCTTTCCCTCCTGCGGCCCTTTGGGTTGGGAGGTTTGCGCCCTGGTCTGGCTCTGCTCTGGGTTTGTTCGCTGTTCTCTTTGTTACTGTTGCACTCAACAATGTCCTGAGCCATCATCTCATCCTCTGTGATGACTGGCAGAGGGTCGGTGATGTTGATCCTGTGAAGCCTTCCATCCAGGTCCACCTCCACCATCTTCTGGGCCTGAGCATAGGTCAAAGTCTCTCTAGATGGAGATAGTTGCAGTCTATAGGGGGAAGGCGGCCGCGGCTGAACACTGGAGACCCTGCCCCTTCCCTTCCCCGGCCCCTGCCCATCTCAAGGCCAACTTCTCCTGCACTGCATCCCCTCCTCCGCAGCCTCCTCATGGGGGCTTGCACTAGTTTCCTTGAATGGAGAGGGTGAGGACGGAGTTATGCAAAAGAAGGACAAAAAAAACAAATCTGTTGTTAAATTCTGAATTGCACAGTAAGTCAAGAGGAACTAATTAGAAGGTAGCCTACATTTGAAATGTCATGAATGATGATTACATAGCAAATTAGGATAGAGAGACTATAACTTAAATGTATCTGCGATAAGGAAAACAACGCACCAGAGTAGATTTCAAACAGTTAAACACCAATTTATCAACATACAGTAGCTAATGCACTCGCCAGTGCCAGCCTGCTGCAAGTTTGTGCAAGAGAGACTCACAGGAACATACGTGTGCATTACATTTTCTGGACAAAATAGGGAAATTCCACATCCCTGATCTGTACTATACAGAAATACATAATTGTGGATATGAAAGTCATTCTATTCATGGTGATGTATCCTAAATAGGTACACAAAGGTAGAAATAAATAAATCTCAGTATGAAAATGTATGCACTCACTAACTGTAAGTCGCTCTGGATAAGAGCGTCTGCTAAATGACTAAAATGTAAAATGTAAATATGCAATATCCTCATTTGCATATTTGTGTATTATTCTACACATTGGCTCCTATTTTAATGAGCTCCACCATCAAACAAGACCAAATTTGGTTGGTCCAGACCAAATCTGAACCAATCATAGACCAATCTATGTTTCACAAGTTTGGACATCATAGTACAGCACAGAACAGTACAGTAGAGTATAGTCAAGTAGAGTTTAGTTCAGTACCGTACAGGAGAGTTCAGTACAGCAGAGTTCAGTACAGTACAGTACAGTACAGTACAGTACAGTAGAGTTCAGTACAGTAGAGTTCAGTACAGTAGAGTTCAGTACAGTAGAGTTCAGTACAGTACAGTACAGTACAGTAGAGTTCAGTACAGTAGAGTTCAGTACAGTAGAGTTCAGTACAGTAGAGTTCAGTAGAGTACCATACAGTACAGTACAGTAGACTTCAGTAGAGTACCATACAGTAGAGTTCAGTAGAGTACCATACAGTAGAGTACCATACAGTAGAGTTCAGTAGAGTACCATACAGTACAGTACAGTAGAGTTCAGTAGAGTACCATACAGTACAGTACAGTAGAGTTCAGTAGAGTACCATACAGTACAGTACAGTAGAGTTCAGTAGAGTACCATACAGTAGAGTTCAGTAGAGTTCCGTACAGTACAGTAGAGTTCAGTAAAGTATAGTTCAGTACAATACATTATAGTGTAACCTACTCATGCTTGTGTGCTCTACTATGTACTGTACAGAACTCTAATCCACTCGATTCTACTGTACAGTACAGGACTGTACTCTACTTTTCTTTACTGTACTGTGCTCTACTATACTGTACTGTCCAAACTTGTGAAAACTAGACATCTATGTTTGGACCAAATCTGAACCAATCATTGACGTCTATGTTTGGGCCAAATCAAGGCCGGTCCAGATGTCTGTGGACGTTGAAATCAAGGCAGGTCCAAACCGGACTAAAAAACAACGTCTATGGACATTGAAATCAAGTTCAGGGCGGATTGACCAAATTTCAACTACTTTTTAACGTCCATGGACATCCGGTGGCAGTCGGTGCTCAGTGGGTGAGAGGGCTGGTTACAGTAAAATGGAAAGAAGGGGCTCATGGGGTAGGTGTCAGTAAAAGTAATGTATGTGAATGAGTGAGTGGGTGGTTGTCCAGACTTTTCACACTCTTGCTTTGACCACCAGACGACAGAAACATAAAGAAAACAGTTATCAGCTGAACATAACAGTATGCCAGTGGAAGGGAGGACAGTAGCAGGTCACCCAACTGTGTTGTGTGACAACTATGATTTCCCATAGTTCTGTTAACGATTTTTGGGGAAATTCTGTTACCGATTTAGTAATATAATTTAGAGTTTAAATCACTTACTAATTCATAAGCAAAATTGGGATCAGTAAAAACACTAACTAACTGATTGGTTACTTCTGTGAATGTTCTTTATCCTCCGTCCTCATGAGAAATTATCTTAAAGATGTGGGTTTTTGGAAATGTAATTTCAAGGCATTGTTTCTTCAATTTACAGAAGGCAAAAAAATGTATCCTAATCTAAATATAACTGTTGATATTAGTTGGCAAGGGGTCTTTACTTCAACATTAGTGTGTTTTGATGCATTTCTAATACCTTTTAAGACTTTTTCTGGCAGATGTTTTCTAAGAAATCAAAGGCTTTAATTATTCCATTATAATTTTTTGGATTGAAAATGGTTGAACAATGTAGTGCCTTCAGAAAGTATGAATACCCCTTGACTTATTCCACATTTTGTTGTGTTACAGCCTGAATTCAAAAAATGGATTAAATATACACTGCTCAAAAAAATAAAGGGAATCACTTAAACAACACAATGTAACACCAAGTCAATCACACTTCTGTGAAATCAAACTGTCCACTTAGGAAGCAACACTGATTGACAATACATTTCACATGCTGTTGTGCAAATGGAATAGACAACAGGTGGAAATTATAGGCAATTAGCAAGACACCCCCAATAAAGGAGTGGTTCTGCAGGTGGAGACCACAGACCACTTCTCAGTTCCTATGCTTCCTGGCTGATGTTTTGGTCACTTTTGAATGCTGGCGGTGCTTTCACTCTAGTGGTAGCATGAGACGGAGTCTACAACCCACACAAGTGGCTCAGGTAGTGCAGCTCATCCAGGATGGCACATCAATGCGAGCTGTGGCAAGAAGGTTTGCTGTGTCTGTCAGCGTAGTGTCCAGAGCATGGAGGCGCTACCAGGAGACAGGCCAGTACATCAGGAGACGTGGAGGAGGCCGTAGGAGGGCAACAACCCAGCAGCAGGACCGCTACCTCCGCCTTTGTGCAAGGAGGAGCAGGAGGAGCACTGCCAGAGCCCTGCAAAATGACCTCCAGCAGGCCACAAATGTACATGTGTCTGCTCAAACGGTCAGAAACAGACTCCATGAGGGTGGTATGAGGGCCCAACGTCCACAGGTGGGGGTTGTGCTTACAGCCCAACACCGTGCAGGACGTTTGGCCTTTGCCAGAAAACACCAAGATTGGCAAATTTGCCACTGGCGCCCTGTGCTCTTCACAGATGAAAGCAGGTTCACACTGAGCACGTGACAGACGTGACAGAGTCTGGAGACGCCGTGGAGAACGTTCTGCTGCCTGCAACATCCTCCAGCATGACTGGTTTCGCGTGGGTCAGTCATGGTGTGGGGTGGCATTCCTTTGGGGGGCCGCACAGCCCTCCATGTGCTCGCCAGAGGTAGCCTGACTGCCATTAGGTACCGAGATGAGATCCTCAGACCCCTTGTGAGACCATATGCTGGTGCGGTTGGCCCTGGGTTCCTCCTAATGCAAGACAATGCTAGACCTCATGTGGCTGAAGTGTGTCAGCAGTTCCTGCAAGAGGAATGCATTGATGCTATGGACTGGCCCGCCCATTCCCCAGACCTGAATCCAATTGAGCACATCTGGGACATCATGTCTCGCTCCATCCACCAACGCCACGTTGCACCACAGACTGTCCAGGAGTTGGCGGATGCTTTAGTCCAGGTCTGGGAGGAGATCCCTCAGGAGACCATACGCCAACTCATCAGGAGCATGCCCAGGCGTTGTAGGGAGGTCATACAGGCACGTGGAGGCCACAAACACTACTGAGCCTCATTTTGACTTGTTTTAAGGACATTACATCAAAGTTGGATCAGCCTGTAGTGTGGTTTTCCACTTTAATTTTGAGTGTGACTCCAAATCCAGACCTCCATGGGTTGATAAATTTGATTTCCATTGATAATTTTTGTGTGATTTTGTTGTCAGCACATTCAACTATGTAAAGAAAAAAGTATTTAATAAGATTATTTCATTCATTCAGATCTAGGATGTGTTATTTTAGTGTTCCCTTTATTTTTTTGAGCAGTGTAATTTCTCACCAATCTACACACAATACCCCATAATGACAAAATGAAAACTTCAAATTTATTGAAAATGAAATATACTGAACAAAAATATAAAACGCAACATGCAACAATTTCAACGATTTTAGTGAGTTACAGTTCATAAGGAAATCAGTCAATTGAAATACATTCATTAGGCCCTAATACAGTTGAAGTCAGAAGTTTACATACACTTTAGCCAAATACATTTAACCTCAGTTTTTCACAATTCCTGACATTTAATCCTAGTAAAAATTCCATGTTTTAGGTCAGTTAGGATCACCACTTTATTTTAAGAATGTGAAATGTCAGAATAATAGTAGAGAGAATTATATAATTCAGCTTTTATTTCTTTCATCACATTCCCAGTGGGTCAAACATTTATATACACTCAATTAGTATTTGGTAGCATTGCCTTTAAATTGTTTAACTTGGGTCAAACGTTTCAGGTAGCCTTCCACAAGCTTCCCACAATAAGTTGGGTGAATTTTGGCCCATTCCTCCTGACAGAGCTGGTGTAACTGAGTCAGGTTTGTAGGCCTCCTTGCTCGCACACGCTTTTTCAGTTCTGCCCACACATTTTCTATAGGGTTGAGGTCAGGGCTTTGTGATGGCCACTCCAATACCTTGACTTTGTTGTCCTTAAGCCATTTTTCCACAACCTTGGAAGTATGCTTGGGGTCATTGTCCATTTGGAAGACCCATTTGCGACCAAGCTTTAACTTCCTGACTGTTGTCTTGAGATGTTGCTTCAATATATCCACATAATTTTCCTTCCTCGTGATGCCATCTATTTTGTGAAGTGCACCAGTCCCTCCTGCAGCAAAGCACCCGCACAGCATGATGCTGCCACCCCCGTGCTTCACG